GAAGTACAGCCGGCCGATATAGCCGAGCAACGGCCGATCGACAGTCGCAAGGCATCCGCGCAGGAACGTCCACTGGCCCTTGCGGTAGTGCGGCAGCGTCGGGTCAGAGTGGTGCAGGTACGTCAGCATCACAATCCAGTGGTGGCAGAGCTGCCGCTCGATCAGACGGCGGAACCGCAACTGCGCAGACCCGAGACACACCAAGTACGGGAAGATGTACTGCTTGAAGAGATTGGCAGCACCGACCTGCATGCCGTATTTGATCAGCAGCGACGATGTCACGACCAGCCCGGCATCAGAGAGCACGATGTTCCAGAAATCCTCGGGCTTGAACAGCACAGAGTATGGCGAGAAGTGCTGTTGGGTCCGTGAGACTGAGTGTGCAGGAGAGGGAGATCAAACGGCCACGCACATTGGTGCCAGCCGGGTCGTGCGGCGAGCCGAGGGTATTGAAGAGCAGATAGACCTGGAACCCGAGAAGCTGCATGACGCACATGCGGACGAGCGTGTAGAGGGGCGTCTCCTCGAACATCTCGTGCAGCTGCTCCTTGGTCGTGATTCCGAGTTCCGACTTCGTGCGGGGCACGTAGTTCTCGTCGCGCTCGATCGAGCCCACAGTTTTCTGGCACGAGGGTGGTCAGCTTCACACGCTATACCAGACTGCCCATGCAAGGACTCACGTGGTGAGTGTGGTGCGACCGCTTCCAGGCAAAGTATGGCGTGAGGAGCGCGGTGTGGAGGATGTACCCGACGGTGTCGTTCACTACGCCGTACGGTGACACGTTCTGGTGTCCAGCCTCGTGGCCTGATGATGATCGATTCATGGTCAGTACAGCGCAGAGGGAGGGGAAAAGAGATGTCACGGACCGAGACACCAGCAGCCAGCCATAGCAATGCTCTGCGCGTACCAGTACGCAGACCACAGCGTCCACTTGAGCACCGACGCGACACCTGGAGTCAGCTCACGCGCGACAGCAACCTCCGCCGCAAATCCGTCGATCCGTTGGCCGAGGGCGAACAAAATCACGACGGAGGCGACGTCCTTGACGAAGCTGACCATCCCGCGGAACGTCGACTTGCGAAACAGCTCGGGCGGTATCACCGCACGCAGCTCCTTCCACGTAATCTGCGCTCTCCGTGTCAGCAGCAAGTCAGTCAATGTGAGCGCGGGGTCGGCTCACAGTGGGTGGCGAGAACGGGGTGTTCCGCCTCTTGATGTACTCGGGGCTTTCAGTAAACATGAGCGGTGCTTGGTGTGCTCGACCGGATGGGGGAGACGAGCAGAGCAAAGGCGAAACCTGCGAGTGCTCGATATATGGCGTGAATTACTTCCTGTGCATCGTGATTGGTCGAACAGCAGATCTTGCAATGCTTAGGGACGCGTTCTCAGAGAGGAAGGTTGTCGAGTGGATTGCCGAGCCGAATGGAGATACCCCATGATGCCGCGCCCTCACGTGAGAATAGATCGATCAGTGTCTGTCTTCCATGCGGCGACAGAGCACGAAGTGCAATCTTGAAGCTGAGCAAAAGATAACGCGGAGCCTTGGGGCTCAGGCGGGGAGCCGCTTGGAACATCGCGAATCAAGAGGTCCTGCGGAAATTGACGAATTCTTCCTCCGCGCGTGATCTAATCGCTTGTGGCCGGGTGCATGGAGCACAGACATGATTTAGGTCTGACCAGCTTCATCTGATTCGGGGTTAAGCCCAAATGAACTAAGGTTCGTTGCATGGTTCTCGGAGTTGAGCAACCTGCGAAGGCAGACCGTTCCCGTGCAAAATCGTGATGTCTAGCAGACATCCGCAGGCAAGAACTGATCTCATTCGAGAACGGGCTTTCTCTCAGCAGGCCGTCTCAGAAATGAAAGAGTTGGAGTCCAGAACTTGAGATACTGACAAAAGCAAATGCCTCGAGCGCGATGACCTGCGATGTTCCATCGTAGCTGCAGATTGGGAATAGATCGCGTCCTAGTCAGAAGCACTAGATTTCTCATGGATCTCTTAATCATGAATTGTCTGGTATAGTCAGCGGTTCCACCCCGAAAGGAAGAGTTGTCCTGTTTCCAGGAAATGACGGTTGTAATCTGGAGCCACGGGGAAGCGCCCAGTTTGCTCGATAGATTGACCATAATCGAGCTTCGAAGCCAATCTCTGAGCCGATAAAAGATGAGATTTATACACGGAAGGTGTACGACCCATGTGAGTTGACCGCCAACGGTCGACAACTAGCCGGCTTTCTCCTCTTATTTTACCGAAAGGGCACGGGTGCCCGCAGATTGCTTGGCAGAAGACGGTTCCGGATGTTCAAGGTGGACATTATGCGGACGGACAGAGAGGTCGGGGTCGGTCGCTGCCCATCATTCGTGGAGGAAGCGACTTCTCAGAGTGGGAGATTAGTGCATTGGTGATATGATTTTCTTCAGAGAGAAGACCGCGAGTCCGTGTTGCAACCCGCGGAGAAAATTTCAAGTTGCAAGCCAGGCTGTCAGTTAGGAATGAGGGAAAAAATCTCAAAAGAGAATGCTCGTCTGATTCCAATCGTCGAGAGTGCCAACAGTGAATTTTGCTCTGTGGATTGTACTGAACGAATCCGCGGGTCAGTCCCACATCAACACTGACCATCTCACAATGCGAGACCCAGCCCGACAAGCAAGCGGGTATCATCAAAACTACCCACACTTATCGATCATCAAAATTACCGGATACGGATGGAAGCAAGCTTGTGACGATCATCTTTCTCCCTAAATCCGCAGCTATGAGCGTGTCCAACAGCAAGTGCGAGAGAGAAAAGTGATTGACGAGTACAGATGCTGCTTCGATCGGTCGGCTGGACAAGGTGACTGGGAGATTCAAAATATATTTGCCTGCTTCTTCTTCGACATGATGCCTAACTTGTCGAATCTTGAGCCTCACCACCTCAGAATCTACTACGCCGAAACGATCTCCTCGGCCGTCTCCGTCTTCCCTATATCTTGACGCAGTGTTTGCGGCAGAGATCCCCACCGCCTCTTTCCCTTTCTCCTGAGTGGTTTCGACATGGCACCTCGAGTCAACAAAGAAGAACAGGAGTTCGTTCCTCTGCAATAGTGCGTCTGCTGCTCCTCCACGGGGCTGGAACTGTGCACACTGACCGTCATCTCCAGCACCCTCAAGGAGATCCGTGACCATATTCCGGCCAAGTTCTTCGAGCGCAAGACGGGACTCGCTTTCTCATATCTCGCCCGGGACATTGTCGTCGCGGGGACTTTCTTCTATCTCGCGACCCACATCGACACCACGCTCAAGTCGTACCTCGTCAATGCCGGCGCGACTCCGCTTGCTCTGACTGCGGCCAACTGGGCCGCCTGGTTGACCTAGTCAGTCTCAGTTCTGGAGCGAAGCTTTGATCGGTTCCTCATTGTCCCCTTCAGCTGGTGGTTCCAGGGTCTCATGCTTACCGGCATTTGGGTCATCGGTCACGAGGTGCGCCGGCATCCACGCTTTGTATGAATCTTGGTGGCTGACTTGGCGACGCGTATCCAGTGTGGACACGGCGCGTTCTCCGCGAGCCGTGGCATCTCGGATCTCGTTGGGTTCATCACGCACACATTCCTTCTCACGCCGTACTTCAGCTGGCGCTACGTCCACCACCGCCACCACTCGCACCACGCGTCGATCGAGAACGACGAGGTGTACGTCCCGCACACGCGGACAGACCTGAAACTGCCCGAGCAGAGCGAGGGACTCGAGCTGGAGGAGCTCTTCGGCGACACCCCGCTGTACACACTCACGATGCTGCTCATCCAAGAGTTCATCGCGTTCCCGGCCTACCTGCGTGCGTCGATGGCCGTGGTCACTGGCAGAGACCCACCGGCTGACATTGTTTGCAGTGTTCAACGTGTCTGGACAGAAGCGGTACCCGAAGTACTCCAACCACTTTAACCGTGCGCCCTCCCGCTCCCGTTGATTATCGTTCGTCCAAGCTGAATTCCGGCCCCGCAGCCAACGCGATCATGTTCAACAAGGGACAGGGCGCCTACGTCATGCTCTCCACGCTCGGCCTCGCTGCGATGGGTGTGATCCTGTACGATCTCTCGGCCCGCTTCGGCGCGATGAACGTCGTCAAATTCTACTGGGTTCCCTGGCTGCTGGTCACGCACTGGTTCATCATGATCACCTACCTGCACCACACGGACCCGATTCTCCCGCACTACCGCAAGGGCCAGTGGAACTTCCAGCGCGGCGCCGCGGCTACCGTCGACCGCGACTTCCTCGGCTGGCAGGGCCGCTTCTTCCTCCATGATGGTGCGTTGTGGGCGCTTTCCCCGCCTCGTCTGTCAGGTGGTCTATGGTCTGATTTTCTGAATCTCTTCCATCAGTCGCGCACTATCACGTCATCCATCACTTCTTCCCCATGATGCCGTGGTACAGCGGAGCCGAGGCGACCAAGTACCTCAAGGAGATCGTCGGCCCGCACTACCACCGGTCTAATGACTACGTCTTCAAGGCCCTGTGGTACAACTACAACTTTTGCCAGTTCATCGAGGATGAAGGTGCGCTTGTCTGCCGCTCTCTCTGCTCGTGGTTCTCATGCAAGACAACATCTGCAGGTGATGTTGCATTCTACCGCAACCGGCAGGGCAAATCGGCGTTTGACATTCCGAAGCTCAAGGCCAACGTGCTCGGCAGCTAGATGGCACGCATCAAAGGGAAACTTCGACAACTTGAGCGGAATGACTTGTGATTTGATGCCCTGTGCGCTGAAGGCTTCATTGCAAGAGTGGTGTATTTCGTTGTTGTAATGTATAGAAATTTTGAGAATTCGAGTGACTTGTTACTATTCAGAATTCCTTTTATCCGCCACTCAATTCCCGGCACCGCCACCTGTCGATCCTCGCCAAATCCAAAGCGAGCCTAAAATTTTGCTCAATCTTGCTCATAAATACCAAAACCTGCCGGTCTCTCCAAGAACATACTTCAAACAATTGTTTTCAGGAGACTACACTCTCAAGTTGAGGATATCCGAAAATAGTAAACGCCAAAAAGCACATTCCGGCAGTGGGCGCATACATAGTATAAGATTTTCCCGGCCTCAAACACTCGAAAAGTATGGTAGGTCATCGAACAACGATACCAGATGTTTACCGTCCAACAGTCGTCTAATGCTCCTCCTCTCATCTAATATATGCCTACCAGCCTTGTTCTCAGAATCTAGCAAGCCTCGCAATCTCTTTGACGGGTTCTCCGTCGATTCTCTCCTCGCGCCATAACTCTCCGATGCGGTCAGCATTTCGTGTAAGGGTTTCGCCTCGGGGACCTTTGAGGTCACTGAATGCCTGACGGAACTCCTCCTTCGCGTCCTCGGAGGTCCCAGTGATTTTGGGTGCGTCAGGACGGAGAGAGGGACCCAGTTGCTCTCCGGCTCGAATCTATGTTTTATGAATGAGCAGAGGTCACAGACGGAGCTGATGAATACCTGGAACAACTCAATTCCGATGGGATTGGGACCAGTCGAAAGCATTGCCGCATTGAGAGCTTGCTCTGCTCCGATCGGCCAAAAGATGAGGGGAATGCCTTGACCCAGCGCCTCAGTCAATGAGCTACCGAGTAATGAGCATTATTCAAGTCAAGGGTGCACGGAAATAGCACTAACTTATAGCCACCATGAGTCAAAAACCAGCCGATTGTACCACTCTTCAGGATGGCTTTTTGATCGACCCACTCGATGCAAACGATTCCTCTGCCACTGGTATGGATGGCATCAATAGACTTCTGTGGCAATGAAGCCATAGCTCCAGCAAGCACAAAGACGAAGGGAATAACAGTCTCGAGACTCAGTAGCACATCAATCATCACTTCGACTAGTTGAGGTGTCACCACTGGGAAAAACATCGATCTAAGCAGATTTCAGTTGACCGTTCCCGAAGAAGAGCCTCTTGTGACGTACCCGAAAGAGATATACAAAACGGATTTCGGTCCAAAGTTCTTCCGCGAATTGTCCAAGAAAGTTTTGACTCTCTCATCGCTGGGTCCGGGGCCTGCTGACGGGGCATCCCATTCCTCATCGTGCATCTGAGGGCCGACAAGGAACAGTTCTTTCCCGCGTTTCTTGTAGTACTCGCGACAGAGGGGAACTGCGACTGGCTCGAGGGGGCTGCTGGTCGGGCAAAAGAAGCCGTCGACCAATTCGGCCAATTGCTGTGCGGCGGTAAGAATAGGAGCGAGGTTGCGTGGGGATCCAGCGCCCTGTGCGGTGTGCTCATGATCGTATATCTTGATTCCGCCGACAAGCTCGAGGATTCTGCCATCGAGTTTGTCGCTTCCATTTGCAGCGCACACGACCTGCGTAGGTTATCATCTAGAAATTGGAGTAAATTGCACGCACGTCGCCGACAATTTCATCCATTGTTCTTCCTGCACGTCTGATCTCATCGTCATATATTTCGCGCGCAGTTTTGGCGTATTTGTATTCGCTGGCATTGTCCACGCAGGCTGCGACCCCAGTGGACCACCAGAGTAGCATCTTTCCCTCTGGTCCCAGCAACGCCTTCGATTCCTTGGCGACGAATCCTCCCCCAAAGAAGTCAATCTGTGACGGAGGCTCAGTCTCTGAGCAAGCCTGAAGAGCTTACATACGTGCAGCGTTCTAGGCTTGGGCCAAGGGGACCCTCCGGCGACTGCTCTCGCAAGAACCTCAAGCCATCCCGCCGTGAGCTGTTCAATCATCTTCTCGGCGACCGCCGGAGAGAATTTTATGCTGAATCTGATCAGATAATTGTGCTCAGAGATGAAGACGCGACCCACTCGTTTGCACCGACACCCACGATCCTCAACCTGTGAGTATCGTACGAACACGATTCCAGCTCTTTCATCATCTTTGGCACTAGCAGGCTCAAATGAGGAAATCAAACGAGAGATGTCAGATCACAAACCCAAGATGTTGTGCTGGACGATCGTTACAACTAACTCGGGATCGGAGGCCAGCATTCGTGTCGTAAGGTGCATGTAAGGGAGGGCATGACCCCAAGCTGGAGCTAAGAGCGTCAAGACATGTCGAGAGGGCATGGTGCGGTCCGAGTGTGCGAATCATTCATAAATAACGCATCTTTATAGCTGTGAAGAACTTGTCAGCGAACGTTGCGGAGAGAAGAACTCGCGATGTGTCACTCGCATTTTGTCACCCCGGTAGATGCCGTGACTGCCTGCCATCAGGGTTTTGCTCCCAGGCATACCCGACTCTTCCGACGGCTCCTCCGATTGTTGATCAACCATTGGGAATGGATGGTCACGAAAGCAACTGCAAAAATTTCCGATTTATGTTCACATTCATTGTCACGCAGAAATTTTGGAGGAGAAAAACTGGAACTCCATGAGTCAGCTTCGGCACCGAGCCGGCATTCGACGGAGGTTCGACGAGTGATACAGCCGAAGCGTATGGTCATCCTTGTCAGTAAAACCAGGGGCAGAAGAAGCAGTTTTGTCGGAAATGAAGCTTCCTTTGTTATTATGTGACGGCTCATGTAATGGACAGAGGCGTTTTGCTGTGACTAATGTCACATTCACGCTTCACTGACCAGAAGGGAGATCTTGATCAAATGGAAAGCCTTCATTTCACTCTAACATCCCAGAGCTGGTGAAAGCATGATCTGGCTTATAGACTTTGCTCGACTGCATCACCAGAGCTATTGGACGGAAAGCATTGACCAGATTCGCCCAAAGACCATGCAAGTCTTAGAATCTGAGGAAATACGGTACCTCTCAGAAGCTCATAGGCCAGAATCCATCAAGCCGTTTCGACAAGCTGCTTCAGGTTGGTCATGGAACGACGCTACGTGGTTTAGGCCAGAGGTCCCAGACATAATCATTCATGTCGATCGCTTAGTCATACCCTTTTCACGGCTTGCGAACTTGCGAAGCACTAAAATAGAAATTCATACACATTTGGGGGTATTTCGAGGTGGACCAACTCATCGGCTGATCTGGCAGTCTACAACAGGCGCCACACCCTTTTACTTGTGGCACAACAAGAAGCCATGGCACAGAGTTGCGAAAATTCAAGTTGTCGTGAATACTGTGTTCCAAGATACTTGTTCATGCCACGGAGTTTTAGATCTTGGTGCTCCGGACTTTGTCATGGCATTTCCGTGAGCACATGTTCGATGCTGCGTCAGCCAAGCCGCTTCCGTAATTCCAAGTATGATCGTTCTTTCTCGTTACGCAATATCAGCGCGAACAGCGATGACAGTCACAACAGAAGTGTAACCGGATCCGATCTCTAAGATTTCCTCACCTTCGTTGTGTTCAATGGATCAAAGAGTGCAGACGGATGGTATGGGGTACGGACTGAGCCCAGAACCCCGGTGAGAGACGGCGCATATTTCTCTTTGCTGTAGAACACTGTAGAATGCACTAGTGTTGCCGCGGTTCAGTTCCGTCCGGTTTTCACCCAAATTTTCCGAACCTCGAACCGAACCTGGGGTCCGGTTCAGGTTCGGCCAAAGCGGGTGAACCGGACCTACGGTTCGGTTCCTCCCGGTCAAGTTCAGGTTCGAACCCGGTTTGAACCTTGAACCTCAGGCAAAAGATGAAAAAAAATTAGAAAATGACCATATCCATTCAGGGCAAGAGGTACGCGGCACGCAGTGGTCCGAGATCTTGGTTGCAGCAGAACGACCACGGTCGGGGCTTCGCGGCGAGTTTCGGAGACGGTGGAACGTCTGCGTTGTTGGGATCATTGTACCACTGGGCCTCGTTGGCTGGGAGAAGCTGGCCATCAGGGCCCAACATGCACTGCTTTTTGGACATGGTAAACAAGGTGTAGAGGGACAAGCTGGATAAATGACTGATCTGAATAGAAAAGCTGATCCCCGACCCATCACCCTACGTTGCTGGCCGAATCTTGCGGCACACTGATACGATAATTCAGCTTGATCTAGAAAATTGATGGTCAATAACAGGCATGGCACGCCGTCCTGGACTCCTGGCCAGTGCGCAGCAGCCACAGAGCGCCATCGTTGATTGGAGCGGTGTCACCACATGGTGATCAACATCACTAGCATGGAAAATAGGTGCCCGAGTGTACAAGAGCTGTCCTAGTCAAGTTATGCACCCTCAGAGAGAAAACTCAATGATATGCTGTCGAGTACGTGGGGGAAAGCATCCTCAGATACGTAGTTGTGAGCCTATTCTACACGCTAAAAACTCAGGTTCGGACGTGTTCGGACGCGTCCAGATTTCTTTGTCCTCACCTGAACCGTGAACCGGACCATCGGTTCAGTCCGGTTCCGGGCATCTTGGCGAACCAGACCTGGGGTCCAGTTCAGGTTCGAACCGGGTTCACTCAGGTTCTGAACCGGACCACGGCAACACCAGAATGCACACCACGTAGAGGGTTTACCCCGTGGCCAATATGGCTGCTTTTGGTATATTTTGTTCCATCTGGTTTCTACTCAAATTTGTACGGCAATCACCTCAGTTACCGCTGCTATCATCACGGAACAGACCCCTTGGGTACCCATAGACATGATTCTATGGGATGTGATGAAAGCCATCACTGTATGAAAATATGCAATCTTGGTCATTTCCTACTGAAAGTGGAGATTCAGAACCACAATAAGGTATTTTCTATGCCGAAATTTTGTTCCAGAGAAATTGGACAGTGGTCTAAACACTCTAGGCAGACTGGTATGAGACCCTAACAGGGTGGTCAAATGGGTCATTTTCGGTACCCGAGTAGGGTCAAATACCACTATGTCGGGCAGCAACCAACTTCCATGTGGGTAGGGGTAACCCAGGGTAAAAATGTTGGTCAGGACCAAACAAAGAGCAGGTGGTGCCTACCACACGGACGGAATCAGTGGTTCCAACCAGGGTGTGGAATGTGGTATTTGCTGCCCCGGTACCGTGCAGATATTGAAACTGAATTTTTGCACGATCAGGGCGGTATTGCAGATAGGACGGGTATGGGCACAGGCTCGAGCGTCACAGCACTCTGACGACTCTTGCAAGCACCCTGGAGGTCTGAGTGCAGCCATAGGAGCCCCCAGTGCTGTCTGCAGGCCACCTGTTGGATCTTCTGCGATCAGGGCGGTATTGCAGATATGAACTTATCAACCTTCACACAGGTCTTGTTCTGCTATGATCTGGTTCCTGCTCTCCCTGACTTCATTCACTCTCCCCAGCTGTGGATGTTTGCATCAATTCTCTATGGTTCCCTATGTGAACAGCTATACTGCTTTTACCGTGCTGGCCGCCACCATACAGTCCTCTAGATGGTTGCAGCCACTCCACAATCGATATGTGGTTCCAGCCACTTCAGCCCTCCTCCAGTGGCTGCAGCCAACATGCGGTACCAGCCACTTTGTTCCTTCTTCAGTGGCTGCAGCCAACATGTGGTACAAGCCAATTCCCTCTTACCCACTGGTTGCAGCCATTCATCTGGTTGTGGCCACCGTTCTTCATTCAACTGGACAGCGACCACACCCTCCCCGACGGTATTGGTCGTGACCACTCAAATCACTCTTCGTGGTCGCGGCCATTCACTCACTCAAAGGATGGCACAGCAACGATGTCGATTGCGGACAGTGTACAGACCTGACATGGCAGCAACCGTCCCCCTTTCTACCAGGGTCGTCGCAATGCAGGCACTTGAAAGCAATTCTCACCCGAGGCCATTCTGATCAAACCCAGACTACTCCAAACTAGCACGTACATCATAATTATGCTCTATGCAACTTTTCACTATCCACTCAAGCTACGGTGAGATAACTTTGCAATGAACAGGGCACTAACGTTCTCATTCCACGGGCACTTTCACTCTGTTTCTAGATCATACTTAGCGAGGCGATTCACAATGCTCAGTACAACTCACTTTTCACACGCCCTGTGAGGTCTGGGGGATCTGAGGGCAGTCGCTATCCAGGAATATCATACGGTGGATCGATGAACGCTTTGCGGATATGGACCCACCCATGAATCGACTCCGCGAGAGTCCTAGCCCCAGTCTTGTGCTGACCGCAGTGGGTAATCAGTCGTCGAGGGACGTTCGGCAGGATTCTATACAACGTCGGGACTATGACACCCATGAGCATACACGAAAGTTGCAAGCACAAACGCGGCGACTTACCGCAGTGTAGGGGCAATCAGGGATCGTGCTGGAGAAAAAAACCACATTCAACCTGCTCCGCTGCAGCTCATGCGCCCAGAAACACCACCTGCTCTTTATCCCACCGGGACATATCTGTGGGATCTAGCCTTAGCGGAAGCGCTGGGAAGAATGGAATTCAGCTCGGCGTCGTCAGAGGGTTCGCTGGAAAAGGTGATGAGATTCATGTATTCAAGTGCGGGATACTGCGGCTCAAGAGATTTTTGTGCCAAACGCTGCGGCTTGGGGGATCATCGCGCCAGACGCTCAGCAAGGCTTGCGTGAACCATGCAATACGACGAGAGTTTTTTCGGGGAACGAGTGCTGACTACGGGCACATTGAACATGGGCGAGTAAGGCGGCGTCGAAGTCACAGACATACGGATGGATTCTGAGTGCGAGGAAGCGGCCAGTCTGGAGGCGATCGGGGATCAGGACTGTGCGTGCTGGAGTCTACCGCCTGAAGCGGATCCACATGCTGCGCTTTCGGTTTCCATGTTCCGAGTTTGATAGGATGAGGCGATGGCGGAGGTGGACCGGGAGGTGATTTCAGAGACGCGTGGTGGGACGTATTGTGCGTAATCTTCTGCGGAGACGGCGGCCGTCCATCCTGCGTTTAATCGGTATCGCCCTCGCTTGTGGGCTCAGCATAGGCCACGTTTCTCCCCATGTTGATCTTGATAGGCAACGGAAAGGCGGGGGGGAGAAGTACCACGTTTGCTTGGAGTAGCATGGGAGAATTTAAAAAGCTGTGCCCCGATGCGGGACCGCATAATACTGATGAGGGATGGGAGGAGTCATGGCTGTGTCTTGATTTTCAAGTGATTGGAGATCAGAAGTGTGGATCGAGAAGCATTTTACTGCGTGTGGGGACGCCCAGAGTATGTAAAACAAGAGTATTTAGTAGTGCGTACAGCATTCATACAAGAATTGGTGGTCGCTTGACAGCGGTTGTGGCCATTTCGTAGGAGCGCCTAGTAGTGA